CTCCCCATCTCAGTAAATGGCACACGTGTGTCTCCAGCAGACCAATCCAGGAACTTGGCAGTTGGCCTTACGTCCTGTTTTTCTCTCCTCCTGACCACGTGATTCATAATCAGGCCTCTGGTACCGCCTCCAAAATACACCCCAATTGGTCCCCAGCCCCCCACCTCTGTGGGCAGGTCCTCTCTCTCCAGCAGTGGAACTGCCGCCCCCTCCTTGGTCTCCCTGCCCCCAGCCCACCACCTCTGTGGGCAGGTCCTCTCTCTCCAGCAATGGAACCGCCCCCTCCTTGGTCTCCCTGCCCCCACTCAGGGCCCAACACTCCAGGAGCCCCCGTCTCACGTGGGATAAAACCCACCCATCTTCCCATGGCCCCCAGACCCTTGTGGTCTGCCCGCCCACCCTCGTATGATCTGACTTCGCCCTCCGTCCTGGCTGCACTCGGCCGCCCTGGCCTCCTTCTCTTTGCTCCCGTACCAGGCCATTGCTTCTGCTGTGCCCTGCTGACCTCCTCCACCTGGGACTCTGACCCCAGGGCTCCCCACAGCTCACTGTCCCGCTTCCGTTAGGCCTCTGTGCTAATGTCACCTCTTGGAGACGGGGCCCTCCGGTACTCGTCCACGTAGCCCTTGTCATCCGCCTGGAATGACAGCATTGACTCACTCCTGGGCTGTCTGCTTCCCGCCCTGACGAGGAAGGTTGTGGTGTTTTGCTCACATGGTTGCTCCCCCAGTGCCTGCAACAGAGCCTGGTGCCAGGAAGGCGCTCAAACCTTCCTGCTCAGTGAATGACTCACGGCCCTGCCAGGTGGTCCTGAGAGGGAGTGAGGTACCTCGTGTATGACGTCGATGCCGCAAAAGCTAGTTGAGCCCCAGATGCCCCTCACTAGCTGTTCAGGTCAGCGACCGTGGACATGGTCAGGGAGGATCACTGAGAGGGGCTGCTCACCTCTGTCCCCTCATCTCCCTGAAGGTGGCCCAATGGCACCACTCACCTGCCCGTCTCTCCCGGGCAGCCTCTTTCCTACCAGGACCCCCTCCTTCCCTGCTTGCTCTGCTTTTCCGCCCCAGCGGCCCAGCAAATGCTGCCCCAGGCCTTGGAAATGAGCCCCTCACTGGACCCTCATGGCTGCCCTGTGAGACGGGGGGACTTGCCCCAGCCTCCTGATGGCAGAGCTGTCTGTCCTTGTGGGTGAGACGCATGGGTTTATTTTAAATGAGTCACCTGTTTTAACTTCCTCAGAGGAAATTCCCAGAGAAACAGATAAATTCAATCTGCCCACCTCCCTTGTTTTATGAGACCCGGGATGTAGTCGCTCTTTGGCCCAGGCCAGTGGGGATTCCAGCCTCACAGATAACCCTCAGGGGCTGGAAAAGGAGCGGGTGGGGCTCATCCCTCCAGAGACTGGGGCCCAGCCTGTCCCCCAGTGGGGGTGTGGGGAGGGACAGTCCCTTAGTGGAACTACAGGGACTCTGGTGCATTGCTGGGGAGGGCCAGGATGCAAAACGCACAGGCACTTAGGAAGACAGCTTGGCCACTTCTTACAAAACTAAACATACTCTCACCATGCGATTCAGCAGTCCTGCTCCTTGGTACTTACGCAAATGAGCTGACATATCTGCATGAAAACCTGCACACAAATATTTCTAGCAACTTTATTCCTGCTTACTAAAACTTGGAAGCAACCGAGATGTTCTTCAGTAGGTGAATGGATAAATAAACTAAGGTGCATCCAGACCGTGGAGTGTTATTCAAGGCTAAAAGGAAGTGAGCTGTCAAGCCATGAAAAGACATTCAGGAACCTTAAATGCGTAGTATTAAGTGACTGAAGCCAGTGGGAATATGCCACGTACTATGTGATTTCAACTGTATGACATTCTGGAAAAGACAAAACTTTGGGGACAGTAAAAGATCGTTGGTTACCAGGGGGTAGGGGAGGGAGGGATAAATAGGTGGAACACAGAGCATTTTTAGGGCAGTGAAACTATTCTGTATGATACTATAATGGTGGGTACAAGTCATTATATATATTTCTCAAAATCCATAGAACGTACAACACCAAGAGGGAACCCTAATGTGAACTATGGACTTTAATTAATAACAATTTGTTGGCTCACCATTGTAATAAATGCACCCCACTGATGCAGGGTGTTAATGAGAGGGGAAACTAAGGGCGAGAGATGAGGGGATATATGGGAATTCTATGCTCAAATTTTCCAGAAACCTAAAATATCTCTATAAAGCAAAGTCTATTAGGGACTTCCTTGGTGGTTCAGTGGTTAAGAATCCGCCTTTCAATGCAGGGGGTGCGGGTTCAATCCCCGGTTGGGGAACTAAGATCCTACATGCTGCAGGGCAACTAAGCTTACACACCACAACTACTGAGCCCTCGCACTGCAACTAGAGGGAAGTCCACGCGCTGCAATGAAGATCCCATGTGCCACAACTAAGACCTGATGCAGCCAAATAAATAAATTTTAAAAAGCAACATCTTAAAGTCTATTAATTTTGTACAGTAAAGACAGGTTAAATATAATAAAAAAAGAAAGAAGGGAAAGGTCTCATACCTTGGAGGGCAGGGCCTGGCACACATGCAGTGGGGTCTGGTGAGGGGGAAGCTTGTCCATTTCTTCTAGGTTGTCGTATTTGTTGGCATGTAATTGTTCGTAGTATTCCCTTATGGCTTTGGGGATTTGTTTTGTTTTGTTTTTTTCCCGTGCGTCGCGGCATGCGGGACTTAGTGCCCCAACCTGAGATTGAACCCGGGCTACGGCAGTGAAAGCGCCGAATCCTAACCATTAGGCCACCAGGGAGCTCCTGAATTGCAAGGCTTAGAATTCATGTCTTCAGTGTGCCTGGCACATAGCCAGTCCTTAAGAAATGGTGGGAATAGAGTGAGTTTTAATTAGGGAGCTGGTTCCTTTCGGGCACACCTGAGGCATACTTAAGGGTGTCAGAGAAGGTAGCATTTAGAAAGTCCTATTTTGGTTCAGATAAACACAGTAGATAAACACACACATTTATTTTCACCCTTTCCTGAATTTGCACTAGAATGACAGTGAAGGGATTTAAAAAAAAAAAAAGGTATTAAACCCTCAAGGACAAAGAGAACAGGAGAGGAAACAGCAGAAATACCACTGGAAACCCAGTGCAGCCCAGCGCACAGGCAGCTGCGGGGAAAGCAGAGAAGCAATCAGTGTTTCCCTCAGAAGCCCCCTGAGGATCGGAAGTCAGCCGTATGGTGGCCTCTGGAAATGGAGCTGACGTTTGAAAAATCTTCAGACTCCACCTCCCTGCCTAGGGTCCCCTCTGTGCGGTGACTGCCCCTCCAGCGGACGTCTGGGATGAGTGGTTGTCTCGTGAGAGGTTCAGAGAAGGAGTCTTTGGATGGGGGAGCCCCTGGCATGTTGGACTGAAAAGGGAGGATTAAATGAACATGGCTATCCTAAAAGCTGAGCCCCTTTTTCCCACTGGCTTCTCCCTCATTCAGCTCCTAGATCACTGGCGGCCAAGCCTGCACCCTCTAGAGGGCACAGAAGCTTCTCTGGGGAAGGTGGCTGGTCCTGTGAGAAATAAGAGAAGGTGATACCAGTGTCAAATCTGAACAGAAGGCCACGGAATATAAATATGGATATTCAACAAAAAAGCTCTGGATAATGAAAAATCTGATTGCAGATATAAGAAACATCACAGAAGTACTAGAAGATAAATTTAAGATAGAAGTACTAGAAGATACATTTAAGGAAATTAAATTTAACTTATTAATTTATTTAATGGAGTCTGATCAAAATGAAGCCATCACTGCGTGGCAGGGGTAGAAACCCAGTAGGGGTGTGTGCAGCCTGGTGATGGGGAGGCAACGCCTGCCCTTCCCTGATGAGACGTAGATGGATGTCACCCCCAAATTGAAAAATTGACAAGTAGCAATATTAGCATGTCATTTAGAAATATGGAGGTCAACACCAAAAACTTCCTCTTAAAGAGTGAAAGTGCTTCTGGGGAGAGGTGGAGAAACTTAGAAGGTTTTTTAAGGCTTTGGAAGTGTGTGTATATATATATATGTAAAACTTTATGTATATATATAAGTTGAATTGAAAGTTTTTAAAATCATTGTTACAGTAGTATTCCTGATTATTGGCCTGTCCTGAGTTATTACGTTGCACGTGCGTAACATTTACCTTCTTAACCATTTGTGAGCGCACAGTCCAGTAGTATTAAGTGTATTCACATTGTTGTGCCACAGGTCTTTTTCATCTTGCGAAACTGAAACTGTATTCCCATTAAACAACTCCCCACTTCCCTTCCTGCCCAGCTCCTGGCAACCTCCATTCAAACCATTTTTTTGTTTTCCTTTTGGCCACACAGCTCGGTTTGTGGGATCTCGGTTCCCTGATCAGGGATTGAATCCGGGCCCTCGGCTGTGAAAGCGTGGAGTCCCAACCACTGGACTGCCAGGGAATTCCCTAAACCTTTTTTTTTTTTTTAAACATCGTTATTGGAGTATAATTGCTTTACAATGGTGTGTTAGTTTCTGCTTTATAACAAAGTGAATCATCTATACATATCCATATATCCCCCATCTCCTCCCTCTTGCGTCTCCCTCCCACCCCCTAAACCATTTTTAAGGATAACGTTTATTGAGACTCTAGTATGCTCCAGACACTGCACGTTTAGTACTTAATCTTCACAAAAGCCATTTTGACAGGTGAAGATGCTGGAGCTCAGAGAGGTTAGGTAACTTGCCCAAGCTCATACAGCTTGTGAATGGCAGGGTTTGAACGCAGGTCTGTCTTCCTGACTCCAGAGCTCTTGCTCGGGACAGCCCTGGGAAGCACTGTTTATACCTGTACCCCTCCCAGCTGTCCTTGGGCCTCCTCCTCATCTCCCCTGGCCCTTGCACACTGGAAGGGAGGCGTGGGATGAGCCCGGGCACCTGGTTGCCTGTGCCATCTCTGCAGTTCCCACTGCATCCTCTGGACCTGAGTCTCTCTGTGTGCCTGTAGGTTGGTGGGACGAAGACTGGTGTGGTACGGTACGTCGGGGAGACAGACTTTGCCAAGGGCGAGTGGTGTGGCGTGGAGCTGGACGAGCCCCTTGGGAAGAACGATGGGGCAGTGGCGGGCACCAGGTATGGTGGGGAGGGAGGAAGGGAGTCCTCTTCTCCTAGGGTGGGTGCAGGGGTCGGGGTTGGGGCATCTGAGAATGCCAGTGTTAAGCATCTGGGTGGCTGTGCCAGATACCATGTACAGATGCTACCACCTCCCTTCTGTCATAGCAGCTCACGGAAGCAGGTGGTGGGAATATCACCCCCATTTTACAGATCAGAGAACCAAGGCCAGAGAGGTCATTGCTCAAGGTCACACAGAGAGTCACGAGCAAACGCTAGGAGAGTCATCTGTCCCTGGGTTCCCCTCCCCCTGCCACCCATGACTAAGTGAGGTGGGAGCACCAGAAAAGGAGAGGCAGGGGTCCTGCCTTCTGAGAGTTGCCCTGGGTGACACGGGAAATAATCAGACAGTGCTTGGTGCTCTACAGCCAAGGTTAGGGTCACAGCTGGGTCCCAGGTTTCTCAGCATCTCTGATTAAAGGGAATTGACTGCCAGGAATGCTGGGTTGAGAAGGTCTAAGGCCATGCCTGGGCCCTTTGAGGGTGGGGGGTTGATGCTATGGCTGAGCAGTGTCAGGGGTGTGGGGTAAGGCACGGTGGCCTGCGAGCCTGTGTTGGCTGTCTCTGGACTAGGTTCTGTCGTCCAGGTGAGGCTGTGACAGCTCTGAGAAGGGAGGTGTGCTAGGCTGGGGGTCAGGCTGCACAAAGACCTGAATGTGGGAAGAGGCAGGTGGGGTGGCAGTTTCAAGGTGAGCAGGAAACTGGACAGAACTAGGTCCCTGGTCCCACGTGGAATCCATGGCTAGAGAGGTTTTGAGAGAAGATGATCCAGACTTCCATGACAACACTTGCCTTCCTGTTTTCAAGACGGATGTTTCTCTCAATTTACTCTTGCTTTCAGAATCCAGGGACAGGTTGGGCAGCATCCCTCACCCCACGCCTAAGGTGCCTCCTTCAGGCTTCTGCTTCTCCATTCGGGGTCTCCATGGGCAGAGAGCCTTGGGGCTGGGGGTGGTCCAGAGGCAGCCATGAGAGTGGGGCTGCAGATACGGCTGGGGGCCTCTGACTGATGTTTGGGAGACAAAGCACAGTGGGCTTTGGAGTCCACTGGGTCCAGTCTCAGCTTTGCCATTTAACCAGCTCTCTGACTGTGGGCAGGTTACTTAACCTCTCTAAGCCTAAATCTCATCTGTGAAATATGGATAGCAATAGAGTGGTTGGGGGATCGAAATGAGCATTTATGTAAAGGGACTGGCATAGAGCAGGTGCTCGGTAATTGTTACTCCCCCATCCCCCAGAAATATGCCCAACCGCTGTTCATGGCTATGCAGAATATCAGGCCCTGCTCACCTCTGTTCCCTTTCTGGGAGTCCTGTCTATTGGTCTTAGGGTGTGGGTGATGGGTCCCCCAGGAGAAGCCTCTCTCTGCTGGGCTCTGAAGAGGTAGGGGAGGCAGGCCAGGCTCCAGGCTATGGGGCCGTGACAGCAGCATGGTCTCTCCTACCTCTCCAGGTACTTCCAGTGCCCACCCAAGTTTGGTCTCTTCGCGCCCATCCACAAGGTAATCCGCATCGGCTTCCCATCCACCAGCCCAGCCAAGGCCAAGAAGACCAAGCGCATGGCCATGGGAGTCTCGGCACTGACCCACAGTCCCAGCAGTTCCTCCATCAGCTCTGTCAGCTCTGTGGCCTCCTCCGTGGGGGGCCGGCCCAGCCGCAGTGGCCTGGTGAGGGATACCCTGGTGTGTGTATGGGAGTGGGGCGGGGACAGAGAGACCCAGTTGTCCCCTGACTTGCTCTGGTTCCAGGCATCCGTCAGTTTGGAGTTTTTGAACAAAGATGAAAGTGTATATTTTTTAACAGAGAAATTGACCCATTTACATTTATTGTTATTTTTATATTACCAATTTGTCAGTAGCTTAAGCCCTTCCCTGGGAGTTAAAGAGGGTCATACAGAGGCAGGGCAGGTAATACAGGTGCACAAAGGTGATACAGGTGCAGGGCAGGTGCTTTAGAAAGGCTGGCACAGCCACCTTGGGTGAGGAGGGAAGGTGAGGTTGCCCTTCCAGCAGAGCTCTGTCTACACGGGAGGTTCCTCCTAGTCCAGGAGAAGGTGGCCCAGGTGAGAGAGCCCACCTTGAGGCAGACCCCCAGGGGCTGTGACTCTCCTGAGAGCAGGAAGTTCCCTGGATCGCAAACATCATGATTCCCTTTACATAACTAGGCAGAGTGTCTAGGGCCCTTGGAGGGGAGGAACCGAACCCCAGGAGTTGAGGCACTTGGGCCCCCCACTTGCTGGGTAGTGGTGGGTTGCCTGGACGGTGCTCCGCATCCCTGAGTCCTGCCTGCACCCACGCCTTCCTGCAGCTCACGGAGACCTCTTCGCGCTATGCCCGCAAGATCTCGGGCACGACTGCCTTGCAAGAGGCGCTGAAGGAGAAACAGCAGCACATCGAGCAGTTGCTGGCTGAACGGGACCTGGAGCGGGCCGAGGTGGCCAAGGCCACGAGCCACATCTGTGAGGTGGAGAAGGAGATCGCCCTACTCAAGGCACAGCATGAGCAGGTGCGTGGGCAGGCAGGGCCACGGAGCACCCGGAGGGCACCAGCAGTCTCCTCGGGCCAGTCTTGTCCCTCAGTCACGCTCAGTGAGCAGAACTTGGGGTGTGCAGAGAAAACTGAGACGCACGTTACCAGCACCCCTCATCCTCCTGGTGAATTTCCTTCCAGTGGTAGGTCCACATTCCACCTCCAGAACCTCGATACAAAGTTGCGTGTCCTGCTTTTTCCTACTTCCTATAGTGCGAGCACGATTTCTAGGTCATGGAAAATTCTTCCCCGTTTGAAGGACTGCGTGGCCGTCTGTTGCGGGCCGTGTCCTTACTGACGTGGCCTGTCCCCTGCTGGTGTTTAGGTTGTTTTCCAATTCCTCACTTTTTCTAAATAATCCTGATTTAAACATTTTTGGGGTACATCTGTCCACATTTCAGATTGTGCTTTCAAGCAGATTGATTCCTGGGTTGGGTTTCAGGGAAGGAAGTCCTCGCCCATAGCCTTGACTCTGCTGCTGTCATGTGTCTACCCTTCCCTGCTGCTTGTCCCCATGTGGGAGCTCCCTCCTAGGCCCCTGTCCCCATTTGGAGCCAGGCTCACTCTTCCCTCGGGTTCTGGAATTACTAAGGCCAAGCTCATGTGTGTGCCATGACAGGGGCCTTGACAAGACAGTAGGTCTTAGGCCCTCAAGGGCTGAGGGAGGTGGCAGGTACTGGGGGCAGGTGGACCTGAGGTTCCCATTCCTGGCACTCAGCCGGCCCTCTTCCCTCACATCTAGGTCCACAGTTCCGGTCAGACTAGGGCTGGCAGGGGAGTAGGGGTGACTGGGTTCCAGGCCTGGGCACCACCTCCACACCCACCCCTCCCCCACCTGGCTCCTGGTCCCCAGGAGGAGGCTGACCCTGTCCTGGCCCTCGCTCGGGGCCCAGTATGTTGCAGAGGCAGAGGAGAAGCTGCAGCGGGCCCGGCTGCTGGTGGAGAGCGTGCGGAAAGAGAAGGTGGACCTGTCCAACCAGCTGGAGGAGGAGAGGAGGTAGGTGCCGCTCCTGTCCTGGTCCTGGCGGGACACTTTCCCAGAGCCTCATTAAGGATGACCAGGAAAAGCAAGGCTCAGGACCAGCAGGCACAAACCCCGCCTCCACCACGTACTGGCTGTGTCACCTGGGCTGGTGACATGAGCTCTGCGGGCCTTAGTCATCTCATCTGCAAAGTGGGGTGATGATCCCCATCTCTGCAGGCTGTTGGGAGGACTTACAAGATAACTCCAGTAAAGCACCCAGCATGACATTGAGCACATGGGAGACACTACATACGTCACTGTTTTCCTTCCTGACATGGGGTTCACCGTTCCTGCCCAGCTCGGCTCATGCAGCATCATGAGAACGCCCAGGCGGGTGGGGGGACCTCTCACTAGGGAGACGTGCATCCGATGTCCCCACCCCGTGACCCAGTTCAGCGCAGGGAACACCCCTTCTGCATCAGGTCCCTCACATGGAGCTCAGAGCCCGTGTCCTGAAGCTTCATTCCCATTTCATGTGTCAGGAAACCGAGGCTCAGAGAAGCAGCAGGAAAAGGCCCCTGGAAACACCTTGCGCCTGGGGCTCAGCCCCGGGGCTGGGCGCTTTACCTGCTCTGTCTCTCTCTGGCTTACAGTTTGCCCAGGAGACAGGTATTGCCCCCCAGGCCACAGATAAGAAAACTGAGGCTCAGAGCAGGGAACGGACTTGCCTGAGGTCACCAGCCTGTTAGTGGTGCCACTGGCTCTTGCTGTCCTGCCAGTGGCAAGTGGGAGTTGTGTTCCCTCTGTGTGGGGACTCTGGCCTGACTTGGTCCTGGGTCACCTGGTGGGACTCAGAGCTGCTACGGCCTTACAAGGGTTTCCCTCAGCCCAGAAGCCTCTCTTTGTCTCCTAGCTGCTGACACACAGATTTCTGCAGCTTCCTCTGCTCCCCTGCACAGTAGCACCTCCCAGACCCAGCCCTCCACCTCCCCCCGACTTGGGTCTGGTTTTGGGCTTTCAGCTGAGGCATGTGCTCCACGGGCTGTTGTTACTGTCTGACTTGGAGACAGGAGGGCTTATTCATATCTGCCTGAGAGGGTCGGTGGGGCCCACGCATCTGGTTCCCATGGCAACGTGCCTGATGCCAACAAACAAAAACAGATCTTTGAGACGTCCTGGGAGTTGTGTTCAGGAAGGCTTGGGTGCAAGTCCCAGCATTGCCCTGCACTTGCTGTGTGACCTTGGGCAGGTCACTGGCCCTTTCTGGGCCTTAGTTTCATCCTCTGCTGGGAGCTGTCACGAGGCCCCAGGAGGGGCAGCTTTGTGAGCTGTAATGTGCCTGTGTCTCTTCCCTGTGCTCTCTCGGGGATGGGTGGGTGTGTCTCCTTGAGGGTGGGCCCCACACTTGCAGCAGGGTGTTGGGGGCCCTCCACATCAGGGAGCAGCCCAAGCAGTGGGGGCTGGGGCTCTGGGCCCTGATTTGGAGGGGAGGGAATGAGAATGGGGTCAGTAGGGGAAGAAGCCCACCTGGCCTCCTTCCCCACAGACTGTTCCATGCGACATGTCTGTTCCCTGCTGTGATGAAAACAGCTGTTAGTGCTTCCATTTACTATCCATTCTGTTATTTATTTCCACAACCACCCTAGCGGGGAAGGATGCTGCATTAAACATTCCTATTTGTGTGTGTGTGTGTGTGTGTGTGTGTGTGTGTGTGTGTGTGTGTGTGTGGCTCACGGGCCCAGCCGCTCTGCGGCGTGTGGGATCTTCCCGGACCGGGGCACGAACCCGTGTCCCCTGCATCGGCAGGCGGACTCTCAACCACTGCACCACCAGGGAAGCCCAGGTCCTTTTCATTTTTTTAATCAGTAACTATGTTTAAAAATTTTTCTGCACTGGACATGAATGATCTATGTAAGAAACATTTAGAGAGAGAAAAGCTTGTTTGCTGGGAAGGAGAATGGATGACAGCAGGAGGGGGCGAAGTGAGGGAAGCTGTTTTGTGGGCCAGGGAGGTGTTCATGCCACCCGTGGGCTCGGACCTCTGTCGGAGGGCCATCGCGGGGAGAGGAGAGAGGTGGCGGGGAGGCGGGTCCCAGGGAAGACCAAAGCGGGATGGAGGTTTGCTTCTAAAAGGAGAAGAGGGTTCTTAGCTTTCCTCTGGAAACACAGGGAAAATGGGAAGGGCTCAGGGAGGTACAAAGGCGGAAGGGAGACCAGGTGAACCGGAAACTGCCTGGAGTGAGCCTCAGATTCCTTGACTGAAGAAATGGGAGTGACGTTCTGCAGCTCGGATTGTTGACTGTTCCGTGCACCCAGCACAGAGCCGGTGTGGGCCCCCGTTCTGAGCCGGCAGTGCAGTGCAGCTTGCATGGAGGGCCTGCTGCGGGGAACCAGGCTGGGTGCTGGAGAGGAAACAGCCCGTGTGAGCTTCCATTTGTCTGGAGGCAGACATACACAGGTGAAGACGGGGTAAATCTCTTGAAGAATGAAGTGAGTAGAGGGTGCTGCAAGTGGGTGGGCTTTTAGGTGAAGCAGTCAGGGAAGGCTGCTCCGAGGAGGTGAGGGAACGAGCCCTGTGACTGTCAGGGCAGAGGTTCTGGGAGGTGCTCCCACCTCTGTTTGCAATGAGCCCTCTCTCCCCAACCCCAGGGCCCCGTGGACCTTGGTGCCTTCCTGCCAGGCAGAAGGCCGGCTGAGTTGTAGCTGCGGTCCTGGTGTTCCCCCCACTGCTTTGCTGGGCCCACTTTGACACTGGGTGCTCAACGAATGGGGTCCCTGGTGGCTGAGATTCGGCAGGTATGAAAAATGCCTGTCTCTGCTTCCCAGGCAGGGCAGGACCAAAGCCCTTGCAGAAGCAGGGGAGGATGCGCTCTCATCTGGGCACCTCCCACCACCCCCGCCTTGAGCGCCCCCCCCCGCTCACGTTGGAACAGGCCACCAGCTGCTGTCACTCCACACCATGTCCTTTAGCCCTTTTTATCAAAGTTCTACTTTGAACTTGAAACCAGCAGTCAATTCCCTTGTGCCTGGTGTCTGGGGAAGGGTCAGCTGCTGGCGTGAGGTTTAAGTCTGTTGCTGCCCTTTGCTTTCTTGGGGCTTTGCCGAGCCGCTGCTGGTCCATGTGGGAACTAGGAGGGCGGGGAGGCCCAGGCCCTGCCCTCAGGGAGCCTCCAGAACCACCCCAGAGGCTCAGCCTATCAGTCAGGTCTCATAGTTCTGATGACACGCCCCCTCCTCTGGGAGAAGAGGTGGGGCTTGTAGCATGTCAGTGCTGGCCAGTACCTTAGCAATTTCTGACCTCGCCCTTTGTTGCCCCATGGGGAAGCTGAGGCCCAGATATGGGAAGGGGCTCGGCCAGGCCCAGCCAGTGTGTTACTAACGGCTCCCTGGAGGGAAGGGGGCTCTAGTGGGGTTGCCACACTTTCCCCAGCTCAGGCGGCTGCAAGCTGCCCGGGGTGAGCGGGGGAGTGGGTGAAGGTTTGTGCCTGTGAGGCTGGAGCACCAAAGAGGAAAAATGCAGCAGAACACCCAAGTGTGGTCGCCAGGCTCGTGACCTGGATTTTATTTTAGCAGCTGTTCAAACAACTGGTCCCCGGGGCCTGTGACCTCTGGAAGGGGCAGGGGTGGGGAAGAAAGGAGATTACCTGGGGGTCTGCCTGGGCCAGGACAGCTGGGAGGACAGCTGAGTAGGCAGCTTCTTGCCAAGAATAGCCACGCTGGGTCCCCCTCGACCTGGGACCCTTCTCTATGCTCTCTGCACAGACAACAGGTAGGGCAGGGTCTCACCTGAGCCATGGCCATTCCGTTAAGCAGACATCACAGAGCCCCTCAGCACGAGGAAGTGTTCTGGAAACGGATATGGGAAGGGCACTGACACCTGCTAGACACCTCCTATGCCTGCCTTACAGGGAAGCTCTGAGCCAGACCAGGTGGGCCTGGCTCCTGCCTGGGTAACTTTGGGCAAGTTTTATAACCTCTGTTTCCTAACCTGCAAGATAAGAATATAATACAGAAAAAGTACCCAGTCCAGGGCTTCCCTGGTGGTGCAGTGGTTGAGAATCGGCCTGCCAATGCAAGGGACACGGGTTTGAGCCCTGACCCGGGAAGATCCCACTTGCCGCGGAACAGCTAAGCCCGTGCACCACAACTACTGAGCCTGAGCTCTAGAGCCCGCAAGCCACAACTACTGAGCCCACCTGCCACAACTACTGAAGCCTGCATGCCCAGAGCCCATGCTCCACAACAAAAGAAGCCACGACAATGAGAAGCCCGTGCTCCGCAACGAAGAGTAGCCCCCGCTCGCCGCAACTAGAGAAAGCCCGTGCATAGCAACGAAGACCCAACACAGCCAAAAATAAAAAAAATAAATAAATGAATTTATATATATATATATAAAAAAAGTACCCAGTCCATTGAGGGCATGTAGCCTCACTTCATGAATTGTAGCTGCTGTTTTAATGATGATAACCTTGACCCCTCGTTGTCAGCAGGACCCACGGGCTGCTTGGGCAGTGTTACGAGGGACCTGGAACACCATCTAACTTGTGGCTTCCTCCCACTATGGCTGCTTTTCGGAGCAGGTTTTTTTTTTTTAAGGAACGGGCCCACCTGACCTAGCGGGGTTCCCAGGCCCCGTACTGCTGTGATCCCAGCAGAAGCTCCTTGTAACAGGATTGTCCTAGATGAGAACCAGGGACCCGGAGCTCAGCCCAGGCACAGGGAACAGCAGGACGAGGTCGGCTGCTCTGGTGGGGGGTGTGTGTGTTGGGGGCAGAGCCATGGGTCCAAGGTCACCAGAACTTGCTGGAAGCCCTTCTTCTGCCCCCTGATCCTTTTGTGGTTTTAAATTTTTTCTAATCCCTTAGTTTGAGGATCAGTCATTTTCATCCCAGTAAGAACGGTCAGCACTTGTTCACTTGTGTGGCCCAGGCACCGTCCCTAGGGCTTTGTGTCCATCACTGTACAGCAGCCCCGTGGCAGAGGGCAGGTGAGGAGACCGAGGCGGGGCTCCAGGGTCTGCTCCCTCAGCCACTGTGGCCTCCACCTTGTGGGATCTCAGGGGTGGAAGAGAAGAGCCTTGGGGACACCCCCCACCCCCACCCCCAGGGTCCCACAGAAGGAGAAGGAGACATCCCTCTGCAGGAAGGAGTACAAGATGAGATTGTTCCCTGCTCGAAGGGAACTGTAGGGTTTGATCAGAGTCTAGGAAACGTGTCCATGCAGAGGAGTCCAAGATTGGGGTGGTTGTAGTTTAGGGCTTGGCATGGCGGGTGCCTTGTGCACATTTCCTGGACGAATGAAAGCGCCCTGCACCAAGAGCCAGGGGCTGTTGGCCGGACCTTGGTGCTGCTGCCTCCTGCCTGGGGGGCCTAGATAAAGCACCTGATATCTCCAGGCCTCAGTTTCCTCATCTGTAAAATGGGATCATGGAATCACTTCACAGGGTTAACTGAGGGTCCAATGAGCTACTGTATGTATGTCTGCCTCTTAGCACAGAGCATCAATTCGTGGGTGTGATCACTCTGGTTGTTAATCAAGTTCAGTAGCAAAGCTCACTGATTTCCCAGGAGCCCAGCTCACAGCTGAGAGGGAGCCCCTTGCCCCTCAGTTAGGACGCCCATCCTGGCTCCCCAGGTCCTGGCTGATCACATGCTTTCCCACCACTACCAGTGCCCCTGAGGGAGAACCTGCCTGCTGGAGCTCGTATGTCAGCCCTGTCCTGGAGTTGTGTGGCTTCCTCATCTCCCAGAAGCTCTGTCCTTCCAGCCTTGAGACAGCATGCAGCCAGGCCTGCGGCCCCAGGCTCCTTGGCCTTGGGTACAAAGAGGATGCTGGTGGAGCCGCTGCCCCTGTGGCCCCTCTACTGGCTACCCATGGAAAGGACCAGAAACACAGGCAGCTCTGATAGGGGCATGGCAGTGTCTGCTTGCCTCCTGTCCCCATCTGTATTTGAGAAGTCCGTCAGCCTCTGGAGTAGAGGAGGAAAAGGATGAGTCCTTCCCTGCCTGATACTTGGTCTGGCAGGAAGGAGGGGCAGCCTCCAGACCTTGAGGTATAAATGGGCAGCCTTGCCGGCATCCGCTTGCACAGGAGGCCCTGCGTGGGGCCCAGGAGCCAGACGCGCACAAAGCATGGTGGGTTTGAGCTCTGCTTTGTCCTTTTGTGAGCAGGTTGCCCCCCTTCCCTTCTTCTTCTGAGTCTAGAGCACATCAGAGCCCAGGCCTGGGAGGCAGGCCCCCTCCAAGGGTTTGAGTCCCCATTTCTGCTGTGTGGCCTTGGGCGAGGCCCTGGCCTCTCTGAGTCTCAGGGTCATTCTTTCTGTAAAGAGGGGCTGGATTAGGGTACCCAGTTCAGGCCAAAGAGCCTGGAGTTCAGTCCAGCAATGAGGTTAAGTGCTTCCGCCTCCCACCCTCCTCACACCCCCTTCTCCTGGTCTGTGTGCCCTGAGGCTTGGCCTGCAGCTTGGGGACCGGGGAAGAGAGGGAGACTCAGGAGTGGAATAAGAGGGTTTTCTGGCTCCTTCCTTGTCCCGAGATGTCTGTGGTCAGCTGCCAAGGAACAGTAAGGAGCCTTTTGTGGGGCCCAGAACTGGCTGGAGAAGAAGGTGGGGGGCACAGAGATCCCCCCACAAGACCTGAGTCCCACATGGGGCC